TTACCAAGTCGTTTTCTTTTGTGCGCAGTACACTTTCCAATTTTGGATCTTCCTAAGGAGTAAGATGTCTTGTTTTTTCATGTGTTTATGCAATAATTATATAAAAACATTTATAATAAATTTAAAAAATGACAAATACTACAGTAATCAACGTTGTATAACACCATTAGATCATTAAAAACGGGACAACATCTGAACTTCAGCAATTTAAAAACAGTTACAACTCTTTTACTAAAGATAAAAAACTAAATGCAACAAAAAATATCACTGAAGTGACCCAAATGAGAAATCATAATTTTTACACTGAAAATCTCAATTCGACCGTAAATAAAAAACTAACAAAGACAGATTTTTCCGAAGTGAAAAGTATTTCCAGAAATTCCCTAAATATGGGGCTAAATGGGAACAAAAGAGAAGAAAAACAAAATAAAAAATAAAAGAGACAGATGAATTGATTAGCAAATCTTTAGAAACTTTTCAGTCATAAATGGACAAACTAGTTTCACACATTCCTAATGATGAGAAACAAAAATGGAAAGAAGATTTAATTAAAATCATTACTGAAATAGACAGATTAGAAGATGGTGTAAAAATAGTTGCTTTCAAACAAGAATTTGTAGATAATTATATTGCAAGAAAAGCAGCTAATTTGTTTGAATAATTAAATAGATATGACTGGCTGTGGATTAGAGTCCGCTAATCATAAAATAAATGAACTGGAATATAAATTAGACAACGACAATAATTATGATCCTAAGAAATTAGCCGGGTTAAGAAACAAAACAGTAGTAATACCATCAAACATCGATGGTGTAAAGAAAAAAACTCTGAAAATAAAGAAAGAAGTCTTCATTTTCCAAAGTTAATTCATTCGACGCACTGATTTCGAGAAAGCAATAACGTGATTAATCTGATTAGGCTTACATTTTGGGCTGCGAGATTAATTTAAACCTTATAAAAATTGGACGAATTGTACAAGATTATTTTAAAAACATCTGCGGCTACAAATGGCGTTTTCCTTTCTAGCTTAAACCTATTGGAACTGTAATTATTTTATTTCTCTTATTAGTGACAATAATTGTGCTACGTTAATTAAACGGATTTCATTACTGTAAATTTTATTGAAAAATTAAGCGGAGAAAGGTAATGGACAATTAAAGTGACAACGCAGAATCTAAAGATGTTCGTGGCATACTGGTGCCAGTAGAATTAGGCCTCGTGAAACATAGAAAGTGTCCATTGTTGAATAGATCTGTGTCACAGTAAAAGCATACCACGCTGAATTGTTATGGTACCCGTTCATGAAAATATCACTCAATGCAAAGCACCATTTATCGATGGGCTAAAAATTGTACAGATGGTAAACTGATTCATTGCAAAGTATATTGTACACTTACTCAAATATACGGTTTGTTAGGATCATCATTAGCAGACCAGCGGCATTTTCAATTTTGATAGGATCGGTGCATTCTCTGTTGTAGCTGTAACTTCTGCCGGTTCTCTTTTGAACTAGAGAAAAGCCAAATGACCAAACCTAAACCAAAATTTCTGGAAGGCGTAACATTCTTGGACGGAACCGTTTTATGGTTTAATAACTTTCGATGACAATTTACGGAAAAAATAAACAAACTAAACAAAAGTTGACACGACAAAGCCGTCTTAGACAAACATTGAAATAATTAAATTGATCTGTCCCACTGTCCCAGAGTTTTTCAAAATAACGAAACTGTGAATTGTATGCGGATCTTAGTAACACTGTATACTTGAGAAGGAGACTGTGACCAATTTCTTCATCTTTCTTATGAAAAGATCGAGCTACCAAATAAATTTGGCGTGTTGTGAATGTGATTGATGGAATTGTATTTTTTATTGAAGACTAGTTGACCCTCTGAACTTCGTTTCACCTACAATTTAATTTTGAATCTGCAAAACCGAATGCGTTGAAATCTAGCAGATGTTTTAAACATATGATAAGCATAATAATTTTTTATTCAAAATATATTTACTTATTCCCTCCAAAAAATTGATGGCGTCAGCCCAAAATTTTGCCAAATGAATCCTATCTAAAGCGTCCAAAATAGGATGAGACTATACTTGTGATTTATCATTCCATTCATATTTTTTAGTTTTGCTTATAGGGGGTGTTTCAAAAAAATTAATCGCTGAGTCAATTTATTTTATTGATTGAATCAAGAATTGCAAAATTGAATTTTGAAATATTGCAGACGTTTTGAAGTTACTGTTTGACATGGTAGGTTTTTAATCAAAATATATCTGTTTATCAAGCCCAAAAACTTGATGACGTCATCTCTAGATTTTGCCGAATAAATCTAAAATGTGCAAAATATCATCAGTATATTTTCGTAATTTATCATTGCATTCATATTTTTTAGATTTGCTTTTACAGTGACTCAAAAAAATGTATGGATCAGTCAATTTATTTTAGAGAATAACTCAAGTTGCAGAAATGAATACTTTGAGATCTTGCAGACGTTTTAAAATTATTGTAAGCATGGTAAATTTTTAAGAATAGTTATTTACTCCCCCCAAAAAATTGATGGAACAGCTTACTCGATTTTCGCAGATAATTTTGGAAATACAATACAGTTATTTTTAGTATTACACTGCACCAATCCAAGGTGGTATACGTGTTGATCGTAAATGTTGATTAAGTCATCACAAAATTGTGTGAAGAAAAGACTCAACTTGAAAATGCTGAATATGTTTCATTATACTTTTGGTGCGAAGGAAGTTCTGCCGAAACAACGGTAGATCAATTTTTTGACAATGGTTGATATAAATAAAACTCAGTAGATGCTCATACTCGAAATAGGAAGTAGCTACTCGAATATCAAATCAAAATATTTCTAGTTTTTCTATATAATGCTAATACTTCAGTACGTAACAAATGATGCTCAAGTAGCATCTCGATATAACAAAAAAGGAAAACAGTGACAGTGTCCATCAAGGCAAAACTCGATTCACCAAAATATAAGTTAGTATGGGGTAGACACCTTGAGATGGGAATCTCTCTGTTAGAAAAAACGCACTGCACAATTTATGCATAAATAAAAGTCAATTACCTGAAAAATTTTCGATATTCCCGCTCCTAATGTGTTTTTCAAACTGAATGCACCTTTTGACGACGTTCCACGTTCATGAAAGTATCCATGTTTAGTCAAAATTCACTCTTACAAAGATCCTACTCGTTTTCTAAGCTGCTTTACAGACAGCTCAGTTATTTGCCACGCCGATGTTCATTTCTAGATTAAATGCTCACAAAACGCGTAGATGTTCAATTTGTGTCCGGGGAGATACAATGTTTCCAAGTAGGTACTCAGTACATAGAGTAGATGCTCAGGTATATAAGAGTAATAATGAAGTAGGTACTTCGTACTTCGAATATGAGTATCTATTCAGTTTTATTCATACCACCCAATGTCTCGCTTCAACATTTGATTATGTTGATTATGAGCACAACGCTGATCAACTTCTATATCCGAATTACCCATGAAATAATTCATTGCGGATTGACTTCGTGGACCTATGTCAACTTGTCGTCTTCTCGGCATTGTAATGAACTTCATAAAACGACACAGAATTATTTTCACAGTCAATCAAATCTGTAAATTTTGTCTTGAGAATTTTAAAATATTGAAAACTTCAAATTAAATCCTCGAATAACGGTAAAGTTTGAGGTTTTGTCGAAACCAACAAAGTGACTATAGGTAAACACAATGGCAGATCAAAATTAATTAAGACACTTTCGCAATGTGTAACTAAATTCACTTTAACCAAGACTTTTCTTAAAATAAACGACGTTTTTGTTTTACGAAAAAACAAAGAACGACTTGAAACGCAATATACTTTTCACAATCGCACGGAAGAATTAGTTTTGTATGACACGTCAGTTAGACGACAGGTCCGTCAGGAACGCCAACTATTCAACTTAATTCGAAGTGGCGATTCCCATGCAAAATTTTTAGAATTTTTTTATCTTTTAGCTGAGAGTTTGGTCTTGAAATATTTATGGAAATTCAGAGAAGGTTTAAACGGTGAGAAACAAAAATACTAAAAACAGAAATTCTATTTTCCAATACAACAGTTCTGAGCTGTGAAACATTTAATGTCTTTTGTCTTTTTAGAAATAAAAGATTGTCACTTGGTTGTCAAGAAGAAAAGTGCTGTTTTTAGGGTTTTACCGGCAATTATTCGAATTTTTTTCACCTTTTAAACCTTCCCTAGCCCTCCACGGACATTTCAAAACCAAGATAAGATAAATCCGTTCAGCCGTTCTCGAGTTTTAGCGAGACTAACGAACAGCAATTGAATTTTATATATATACTAGCGGAACCCGGCAGACGTTGTCCTGCTTGTGTATATATTTACTTTATATATATGTGGATATAAATGTATGGTCTGGAGCGCAGAATGCGTTGTAGAAAACTGAATAATAAGATAACTCATATTGATCCTATTCCATTTATTTTCATTAGTATACACAATGTACACATTTTTGTATTAGTAATTCACGTGAATGAACAAAATTTTTGACTATTGTATTCGCTATATATGCTAGTCCAAAAGGTATAACGTTATATGACCCTTATAAAAGTAGTTGACCGCAAATAAGTACCCCCTTTGTGTGGTTCGCACTAAGCTTACCGGTTGGCAATAAATCGTCTTCTCAACATTTCTTGCTCATATTTAATAGGGCCGGCTTTCAAAGCGAGTGGTAATTTCGGAACCCTCAGCGGCTGCAGGTAGTAAAGAAATAGTGGAGTGGTGGATTTACATATTTAGTGAAAGCCGCCCCTGAACGAAACCACAACAGCCGGTCGAGCTCCATTGGACACGTTATTTACGACCCTAAAACCTTTTCTATTGTAAACAACTTAACTTCGACACAATGGGATGATTTTATGATGGCCATATAACCTTATAGCTTTTGGTCCACTATAACTGAAACAACTTGAACACATTTTAATCAATACTAACATCTATCGTAACGCTAGTGGGTAAACAATATTTTTGGTTTTTTGATTCGGTGTATAGACGTACAGAGTTTTTGGAATTCCTACTCTGGAGCAAGCAACATACAGTTGACCATGCGAAAAACATGGATTTCCTAAATTTAATCCGGGAACGCGCAGAGACTGCCCTTGGGCTTTGTTGATTGCCATCGCGAAAGCAAGACGCACAGAAAACTGTAGTCGTTTGAATGTAAAGGGTAAATCAGTAGGAACCATTGGAATGCGCGGAATCAGTTTGATTTTTTGGATGGCATTTTCAATAATCTCTAGTAATTCACTCTTTCTTATTACTGAGGATTGTAGACAGTGAACATCACTAATGATTTTATTTTGCGGTCGATACGATTTTTGTTGTAATACCAACGAAAACAATGCTGTCATTGGTGCCGCCATATATCTAATACTTGCTAACTCTTCAGAAGTAACATAGAAACGTTGTTCACGGACAAAGGGAGACGGAAGATATTGTTTTCTGTCTAGAAAAGTACCGAGGGTCTGTGCGCACGTACACAAAATAGAAGCGAACGTATGAAATGTCAAAACACATCTAGTCACGTTATCGACTAAAAATCAAGCAAGTACGAGTATATGAGCAGTACTGTTTGGTACTATAGAGAGACAAAGAGGTCCGATATATTGCTCTGACGTTGTGTTTTCGGACTCTTTTGAGGCCTGATAGCAATATAGTAGTATTAGATATATGGGTGCCGCTGATTCTCTAAGTTCATAATACTTTAACAGAGAGGTTGATGTGCTGCAGTGCCATCTAGTGGCAAGTTACAGCAAAATCGATAACGCGAAAATACTCTCCATGGTCAAATACCAACGTATATCAATTTTCATGAGGATCGGTTGATTGGTACAGAAGTTGATGTGTTGCAGCGCCATCTAGTGGCGAGTTACAGCAAAATGGATAGGGCGAAAATATTCTCCATAGTCAAATGCCAACGTGTACCAATTTTTATGAGAATCGGTTGAACGGTGTAGAAGTTGATGTGCTGTAGCGCCATCTAGTGGCTAGTTACAGCAAAGCGGATACCACAAAAACCTTCTCCATGAAAAACCACTTACATGTGCCAAATTTCATGGTGATCAGTCAAACGATTTCGGAGTCTATCGATCACAGATATATATACCAACATCCATTTTTATATATATAGATAGATAAACTGCACATATTATATAAGTTAAGAATAACAATAAAACTGAATCCGATCTGTAATTTTGGTGCGTCCAGTACTGATGAGAAATTGGAATTTCTTTATTGACTTTTATATATCTGTTTTTTCCCATTTCTTTTATTTTTTCCTATCTTTTTAACTATTATCCGTTCACGATTTTTATATAGTAGTGTTGACCATGAAAATCTAGTGAGTTTATTGGTTTTCGATGCAGAAGAATAAAAATTCCCTGAACTTTTTTCGTTAGGTTATGTTTTACTAAATTAAAGGTTAAAAAATATGCCAGAAATATAAACATTGTTGCCGATACTTTCAGTTTTCAATAGCAATGACCAAGTTAACGGTATCCATTTCTTAGAAAGCATAAAACTTTACACTATTTAAAACAGTTGTTCGGATTTTTGTAAGTGTGTATTTCATATGTAAGGAACAAACACTAAAATTTCACTTAAACATTGTTTTTATATGAATAGGGGTTCTACATAAGACTATTGTCGCATGCCACATTTAGCATCTCATCTATAATTGTCAATCATCAGTTCGTTCTGCTCGCCCACTCTTCTGAAAAATGTAAATTTCGACCTTTGTGAACAGCCTATTTCCATATCTTGCAACTTCTTTTTTCACTTTTCTAAGATTACCAAAATGATTGCTAAAAGACAACAACCTTGCTCTAGTACTTTGATGGGTTTAGCTCTTCTGAAACATTTTTCCGGCCTTAAATTGAATGCTTTATTTTGCGCGCTCTGGCGGACAAAATGCCAACTGTCACAAGCGGGATTAATTCTTGTAAGTTCATTTGGTTCATTATTCGAAGACAACAAATTACAGTAAATTCACTTCTTGCTGAGTTATTGGCCATTTATTGTGTCAAAATACGTATTTGACTCTCTTCTCTACCATAGCTGAGGAAAAACGCTCCAAGAGTAACAACTAAAGCGACGTGTCGCAATGTAAAAGTTACTATTCTGGAAATATTTCTTTGCACCACTTTCCAAAGTCTAACAAAATACTGGGACAAAAGTGGATTCACGCTTTAAAAATAGGCAGAGAAGTATTTCAATTAATGACGGTGTGCAGCAAACACCTTACCTCTGAAGATTTTTTTTTAACAGAGGTGAGTTTAATCTCTCCATAACAGTTTGCATAACCTTAATTTGTCTCTTTAAAACTGTATAGCGTGTGCTATAAAGAGACACAGATTTAAAAAAACTACAATTCCCAGTGTTAATTTACCAGAAGCAACATATCCATAACCTCATAAGAAACAAACACAAAAAAAAGAAAATGCTTAAAATTTGGTGCAAAGTAACAACGTGGATGATCTAACTAAAATTATACTTATTTTGTTGTACCTACGTCAGGTAGTTTTTCACATACTACCTTGGTAAATTTAGAACGAAAGATGCGTAAAAATATCACCCCCCGACAAGCTACAATTCACTCCATTTCCATTATTTCGCTATGAAAATCTGTATCATCATTGTCATTTTCAAATTCAGATTCTGAATCAGACTCACCTAGCGAAATAATGAAAGGAGGTATAGATTCGTACGAAAGATTTCCCATATTTTTTTCCCAATCTGCCAAAATAAGTTTTTCACAATGTTTACAAAAATTTTGCCACATGCTTGGAATACACTTAGAAAGCGCCTCAAGCCATAAATTCTCCACCCTATTTTTTAATGAAGGTTGAGAATTTATATGTTTGTTGTAATAGTTCTTACAAAATCCCCACACCATTTTAATTGGATTATATTGACAATGGTACGGAGGTAATCTAAGAACTTCCTGGCCACTTTCTCTTAATGCCTCGTCTACCAAATATCTTTTTTTTCTATTGTTTCTGAAGGGTTTAATTAAATCCCACAACTGTTTCTTCGAAAATTGTTTGTCAAATTCAACACTATGTTTAAAGAGCCATTCCTGCATTTCACATTTTTTACTAGAAAAAGGGTGGTTTATTCAACTGAACCGAATGATACGGTGCATTGTCTAAAACCACCACACATTTTTGGTTCAACTTTGCCAAAGCAGGAATGAGCTGATTAACTACCTAATTTTGAAAAATTGTCCCGTCCATGGTTTTATGATAGGCTCTATCGTTATTTTTTGAATTTAAAAAATTGTTACAACTATCCAAGAACCCCGTTGAACAACCCCCGTGGAGAATAGTAAACTTTGATACTTCACTTTTAATTTTGGTGGGATTGCTTTTTAGATCATTACCGTACACCCAGCGACGAATGGACAAACCATTTTGATAGATCCATGTTTCATCCAAATAGACGAAAGGCAAATTTTCACAAAAATTTAGAAATTGTAAATATGTTCTCAAAAAATAATTTTGTCTGCAAAGACATGTTTTTGTTCACATAGAATTTTGCGACCATTTACTTCCCTGTGTTTATAACCCATTGACTTAAGAATTTTGTATAATGTGGTTCGCCCCCCTTTAAATTCTAACTGTTCCCTAGAATATGCCAAAAAAAGTATTTACACTGAAATATTCGTTTTTTTCATTAAGTTGCCAAATTTGTCGTTGCAGGTATTTCCGAAACATATAATTTGCAAATAAATCCGTTAGTGCCAGATAGTGATGTTTTTAAAGTTTGGTCCCCTGTTCATAAAATTTTCGCCACAGTTGATGTTCCCACCTATGAGAAAAAAAATTAAAAAATATTTTACAGCGTATTTTTACATTACAGAAAATATGTTCGAGACCCTCATAGTTACTTCTTCGAAAGAAATATCGGGCCTGTCTTTTCGAAACTGCAAAAAACATCTTTTTATTGCAATTTTTTGTTATATTAAAACTATTTTAGGCATTTTCTTTTTAAATAATGTCGCAATATCTGTGATTCTGTCACAATGACAAATTATCTATGCTGACAAAATTAAAACGTTTGTTTGCTTGATTGTGGATTTTCATCGGACCAAATATGAGTTTTCTGGCTGTTGTAAACACCATTGCGAGTGAATTCTGCTTTATCCGTAAACAGTTGCAATTGCAGTTACAGTTGCTGTAACAAGGATTCGTAGTAAATTACACAACGTGGAAAATCAGTAAGTCGGCAAGTGGTGATGTCGGGCTATTCTTCGACGCGTTCTAAAATTTGTTCTTCAGCTTGCAGTATTCTTTCCATCCTATCACGGCCACGATCGTGAGTTTCACGCTCGAAGGTGCTATGATCTCCGAGATGCTGTACCGTTGATGTAAATGTTCGCGTACACAGAATCGCGCGATTTGGGAAGCGCTCGATCCACAATTCGAGATCTAATCTGGCGTTTCCATTAGTCACACCATGAAGCACTACCATGTTGACATACTCTGAATTGGAAAAATTCACTATTGTCAAAGACCTGAATCGAACACTGGATGGCAACCAACTGATACATGACATTTCGGACTTATTCGTGGAATATTTTTCGTCAGTATATGTGTCCGATCCTGGAGTTGTGTCCAGTTATGTTAATCAAAATTTTTAGAGGTATTTGACGAAGGCTTAAACTTTACCTTTACGTCAAAGTTTGAAGTTTAGATTGTTATGGGTCAACACTTCGAACATTTATTGTATTGGTAAAAAATAAAACGTGTTTTTATCTTTCAGTTTGAAGTTTTTGTCGAAACTTTTGACAACTGTTAAGGTGTGTGTTGATTCTTCTGTGAGTATTTCGTATAATCTGTTGGTTTATTAATTGTGTTAGGTTGGTTTTTTATTTTTTTATTTGTAAAACTGGAGCATCCTGTAAATACATAAATTAAAAATAAAAAAGAAATAGAAAATAGCATTAGTATATTTTTTCGTGACGTGCTGAATACCTTGAAATTTAACTCTTTGTGAAGATGGACGTAAATGCCGGTAATAAAATCATTAACCGCAAACGACTTTTTATCAGTCAGCCGCAAAAAGCATTTCTGGAGCTGGATCAGGATATCATTATAACAAACGCAAGAAAGAAGGATAACAAAACGAGTCGATTAATTTCCAAGAAGTAACATGAGAGCTGACAGTAATTGATGTACGATAAGTAATTGTCCGGAATCCTCCGATGTAGCGGTTATTAGTGCACGCCATATGCGTATACATCGTGGCCCAAGATCCTGACTAAGGACATCGGTTTTAAATTAATAGAAAAGGAATGCACACATGCTCGTTCCCACCTGTACATTTTATCTCTAGCTATTAGGCCGCATCATTAAAAACTATG